ATTCTGTGGGCGTACCAAAAGTGAGGCCTCCCTGTCACATCTGGACAGGAGGGTTGGCATTTATTAGAACCATTCACCTTTATTTTCCTGGGTTGAAGGACATGGGAACTGAAGAAGGAAGAGGAAATGGGATGGAGGACATGGGACTGGAGGTTGAGGAGCACATGGGATGGAGGAGGAGAATGTGGAATGGAGGAGGAGGGCATGGGATAGAGGAGATGGGACTAGAGAAGGAGAACATGGGATGGAGAGGAGGAGGAGGACATGGAATGGAGGAGATGGGATCGGAGGAGGAAAACTTGCAATGGAGGAGGAAGAGGGCATGGGATGGAGGAGATGGGGCTGGAGAAGGAGAAGGAGGTAGACATGGGACGGAGGAGGCGGAAGACATGGGATGGGGGAAATGAGACTGGAAGAGGAGTCCATGGGATGGGAGAGAAGGGACTGGAGGAGGAGAACATGGGATGGAGGAGCAGGAGGCCATGGAATTGGGGAAATGGGACTGGAGGAAGGCATAGAATTGAGGAAGAGGAGGACATAGTATGAACGAGATGGGATGGAGGAGCAGGAGGACATGGTGGGACTCCCAGTGGAAGGGCCCTGGGGAATATTGGTGGTCAGGGCAAGGGGGTGGCCAGGTCAAAAGCTGTGTAAGGGGCCCAAAAATTCTGTTGGCTGCCCTGTGTAGGAAGGTGAGGAGAGTGAAGGAGGAGAGGGCTATGACAAGCAAGGAGCTGTGTTAGTGAATTGACGTATCCTAGAGATGTAACATTTTTTTTTAGAAAATGTAAATATAGTAAGCCAATACAAAATAATTCATGGAAAGAAAAAACTAAAAAGTAAGCATTTAAAATACTTGATCACTCTGCACATTTACCTGCAATTTTTTACGTCGGTGACAGGATCTCTTTAAACTATGTTCCCTTTTGACACAGTATCAGATGCTAGCTGTCAGACCCAGCTGTTGCTGACAGCTCTGGACCCCACTAATGATCAGAAATCAATGAGAGCAATTCCTGATCATTTGATCACTTTATCAGCTATGACCAGGGGCGGACTGACAACTCATGGGGCCCCCGGGCAATAGGGGATCATGGAGGTCCTGTGTCCTTGCCCAAACTCAAAAAAAGCCTATGAAAAAGGTACCAAGGGCATTTCATGGGGCCCCCTACTGACCCCAGGCCCTCGGGCAGTGCCCGAGTTTCCAAATGGTCAGTCCGCCCCTGGCTATGACATAGGATCATATAGAAGCTGGAGATTCATACAATGAAAAAGAGTTTTCAGACTACAGATATCACTGCATAAACTGTAATAAAGAAGAAAACTACATACAGTATGTACAAAACCATTATACATTATAACTCATGTACAGGAAATATTTTTATGTATACATAAGGTCTGGGTCGACAAGCTTTTATTCAATTCAATAGGGTTTCGCAGTCCCCACCAAGTCCATGGGAATACAAAACCCACTTGAATCCTGTCAAATGTAGGTCAGAAAGAGATCAACTGTAACTATGCTTTAGGATTGTCTCTATTTTAATGTAATAAGGTGGCACAGAATAACAGAAGTAACTTTTTTTTTCAGTTTATGAAGTTGTGATGACTTCTTCATGGAACCAAATGTTTTTTTCTTGCTGTTGCACTCTCGGCTATCTTGCTGATAAGCTTTACAATGCATCATCCTGCAAAGGTAAGTACTAATCACTCAGACTGTTAAAGTACATCTAAAGATGCCTGAATTATATTCTAAAGAGTTCCCAAATCCTTTATGTTTCCTTGTGACTGGGAGCAGTTCCACAAGGGAGAGGAGACATCTCTGCATGTAGTTTGCAAAAAACTGAGCTAACTTTCAGACTGTCTGAGAGTCCCTAGCCCATAAGGGGCTGTTGCTACTGATCCTCAGGGATTGACGTCTTTCAAGGAAAAGAAGTTGGGAATCCCATCATATTACCCTATCCAAGTTACATCCCCTAATAAAAAAAAACAAAAAACAAGCTCATGGACTGTTCACTGACTGTTGGATGAAAGTGTGGAAAATGAGTGTTGGCTGGCTGTGCGAAGCTTAGAGGGATCCAGAAACACTCAAGAAGGCAGCCCTACACATATATATTGCTTAATCCACCCTGCCCGCCCCATTGCAGACTATCATTACCTCAAAACCTTGAGCACTTTAAACTGGTATTTATAACCGTATTTATTTATTAATTCCAGAGATCAGATGCAGTCCCATATTACAGCAATACAACTGTAAACCATGGAGAAGAAACTTCAACAGTTGCCAGCTTCTCATTAGAGGATGAAATTCAAGCTTCTCTCATCTTCAAAAACATTTCTGTCTTGATTCCTTCTATCACGTTCACCCACAAGGACCACACCACCAGTGCTAAGAAGAGCAGAGCCACCATACTGAACCCAAGAAAAAAGTACTGTGTTGGAGAGACGATAATTGTCCAGATTGAGATGTTTGATTATTTGGGTAACAGAAAATCATATGGAGGAGACTTCATAAGAGCTAGGATCTTTTCTCCAGATCTTCAAGCTGCAGCTTCTGGGAGAATTGAAGATTTTAACAATGGAACCTTTCACGTCTATTTCACTTTATTTTGGGAAGGAAAGGTTTTCTTCTCATTGGTCCTCTACCATCCAAGTGAGGCTGTTTCAGCATTGTGGAGAGCGAGGAACTGGGGCTATGACCTCATTTACTTCATAGGATTTTTTTACGAATGGAACTCATCAAGTGAAGTCCAAATGTGGATTCCAAGTGAATACAAAGAAGGAAATATGTGAATATAGAAAGGAAGAATATCATGAGACATTTTACTGCGCTAAACCAGAATCTTTCCATTGTGGGTCTTTAATATACCTTCAGTCTTTCAACAGCGATCTCTCTTTTCTAAGCGCACTTGAAAAATCTCTCTTTGAAAGGTCAGTACATATCTGATAGAAACTGTTTTATTTTTTATCAACAAAAACAAGAAATCAATCAAATTATTTTTTTGTGGGACAACAGGGAAAGCAGCAGCACTCTGAAGTGGCATCAGTGGAATAAAATGAAAATTTTATTTTAAGCTGGATTACTCAAAATTGTACACAATTTACAAAATGTTACATAACCTTGGCCAGGGAATTTAAATCTGAACTCCAGGTATACAGCTAAATTCATATGTGAAAGGAGCTGTTTTATGTGCCAAATGATTAGTAATGTAACGATTAATACATATTAATATATTGACTTATTGTTACAGCGGTGCATTCATTTGTGTCATTTATATCTGTCTGGAGTTCAGCTTTAACCCTTTTCTCTGTCAGAGCCATTTTTGTACACGTTTAAAAAGACTAGTTGAAGATTAGATAAACCCCCCAAACATTATATATTTTCTGAGAGCAGACACCCTGGAGAATAGACTAGTTGTTGCTCTAATTTTTTATTTCACACGCTATTAGCATAATGATGATTTATGAAATGCAAACTTTCAGTAAAAAAATACTCTAAAGTTAATTTTAGGGCACACAAACGCAATAAATTATCCAATTTTATAAACTATAAAAGATGAGGTTGAAATGAATAAAATGATACCAAATACTCCAAGGCTTATGCAGGCCACAGAGGGGTCGAAAATCAGCCGATTTTTCGACTGAAAAAAAAAATCGGCTGATTTTCGCACCATTAGTGGGTTAATTGGTCAGCCATTTTTCAGGATTTTGGCACTTTTTTTATCAGTAAAGTTGGAAAAAAATTGGCCGATTTTCATGGCAATGATAGGCAAATTGGCCGATATTTTTACCAATAAAAAATCTGCACATGTGCCATGACCTGCAAGAAGAAGAAGAAAAAGAAGAAGAAAGAAGAAGAAAGGAAAAAGAAGATAAAGAAAAAAGAATAGAATTCCAGTCCGCTATTATATTTGACATGAAAAAGTATCGCGGCTGCAACATTGTATCTATTTGTATCCGAATAAAAACATCTGTATCCAAAATGGATACAAATAGATACAATATTGCAACCGCTATACTTTTTCATGTCAAATATAATAGCGGAGCTCTCTGCAAGGGACAGAAGTAATTAAATGCCGGCTGTAGACGGGACAACAATCGGATGATTTTTTTTTTACCGTTGGTGGTAACGTCGCCATATTAAACAACCAATTTTTTTTTTTTTTTTTTAAACGGCCGGTTTTCAACCCGTCTATGGTTTGCATTAAAATTGTGTATGTCTGTGGAATGGCAACAAACTTCACTACCCTATGTTTTCCATAGGCAATGCTTTAAATAGCCCATCAGTTTAGAGTTATCCATAAATAATGAGCCTAGAATGATTGCTAGATGATGAATGACTCCAACGTGTGCGACAATATATAAAATGTGTATCACAATTGACATTTTCATGAGTATGTTCATAAGTGGGGGGGGGGGGGGTTGATTCAAAAATGTTTTTGGGGTTTAAGTGCACTGGAGTAACTTTATTGTTTTATACTTTTTTAAATGTTTTTTTTCTAAACTTTATTTTTCATCATGTAGTAAACAAAAAGTCCCCTATGTGATGATTTATTTGGGGACAGGTTCTCTTTAATGAGACATCAGGGGTCTAAAAGACCCTTGATGTCTCACCTGCCCTCTTTATGTAGAAAAATTACTTATAATACAAAAGAGAAAAAATTCTTCTGAATTGTCATGAATTCCGAAAAAAGTACAATATTGATCTTTTTTTTCTAGAAGCAATATTGCTATTGAAATCCCCAAAAACTTTAAATCCATTGGTGTGTATTCATGTACAGGTGAGTAAGTCTTCACGTTTTACAAATCTTTGACCCCAGGTGACAATCAGCTCATCCACCTGGCTGTCTTGAGAGTGTCCCTGAGCAAGGGATTCTGAGACATACTAATTCATTAGTCCCAGGGAAAACTAGTTGGGTATTGCACCTGACTGCCCTCTCCACTCTTTGTCCCAGGATGTATAGAAGTACTCACCCTGTCCTGTTCCTGTAGTTTAATGGGTTACAGCCAGGGGCGGACTGACCATTTGGAAACTCGGGCGCTGCCAGAGGGCCCGGGGCCAATAGGGGGCCCCATGAGATGCCCCTAGTACCTTTTTCATAGGATTTTTTGTGTTTGGGCAAGGACAGAGGGGCCCCATGATCCCCTATTGCCTGGGGGCCCCATGAGTTGTCAGTCCGCCCCTGGTTACAGCTGCTTTTAGGCCTTATGCTGGGCTGACCCCTTCCTGCTGACAAGCTGTCTCTCCTAAGTAAGCTATCCCTGTCCAGCTTCAGCCTGTAGGCAGGCCTCCTCCTCTGTGGCCCTCTCCTAGGCTCCACACCAGCAGCACCTTCCTTCACTATATTTTCTATCCAACTCCCCTGCTGACCAGGTTCCCCTATTTAAGGGCTGTCCTAGCCACCATGCCAGGCCTGCTGCCTGAGGATTGGCCAGATTCCATCAAACATGCAAATCCATGCCTCCTCCCCTCCTCCAACCTCTTCTAGAAAGTGCCAGGAGTTTCTAGAAGGGTGGGAGGGCTCCATAATCCATGCCTCCTCCCCTCCTCCAACCTCTTCTAGAAAGTGCCAGGAGTTTTTAGAAGGGTGGGAGGGCCTCCATAAGCCCTGACCTGTAGAGCTAACCTAACCTGAAGTAACCTTATTGACTCACTCCCAGGCTGACTCATACCCAGGCTTCTAGCAAGCCTCTAACTAAACACAAAAATCCTACCTAAACTAGAGAGCGCTACAGGAAAAACTCTTTTTTTTTTACCCTACACTTTTGTATTTCCATCTTTCCTCAAGGGACCCACGAGAATCAGTCATGTTTGGGCTTATACAAGAAACTAAACATTTAATCTTCAAATATTTTCATTATGCAGATTTACCTATGAAAGATTCATATTAACTCCCTTATTTATATTTATTTCTTTTTCTGAGGATGAGACTATAGTCAGAAGTAAGGTGCCACCAAATGTCTCGCAGGTAATAACCTGAACTTGAGACAATGACACCTGATGTTTTCTAGCTCCTAGATAATCATAACACAAAGTTCTCAAAAATTCCTCTAAACTACGGAGGTGTGTTATTTTTGTAGTGCTACAGCTGTAGGGGCTGCTGATTTCTACTGACTATTCCTCCCCCCACTGACACCAACAATGGGGCACTATTCCTCCCCCCACTGACACCAATGATGGGGCAATACTCCTCCCACTGAGACCAATGATGGGGCACGATTCTTCCCACTGACACCAATGATGGGCACTATTCCTCCCACTTACACCAATGATGGGGCATGTTTCTTCCCACTGACACCAATGATGGGGCACGTTTCTTCCCACTGACACCACTGAGGCACTACCCACTGACACTAATGATGGGGCACGTTTCTTTCCACTGACACAATGATGGGGCACTATTCTTCCCACTGACACAATGATGGGGCACGATTCTTCCCACTGACACCAATGATGGGGACACTATTCCCCACCACTGATTCTTCCCACTGACACCAATGATGGGGCACTATTTCGCTCCATAAGACACACTTGGGGGGGAAATGTCTGTGCGTTTTATGGAGTGGCCGGCCAGTATTCCCACCGCCGTTGTATGTCCGCAGTCTCTGGTCATCTCCTGTACTGTGTCCGCAGTCTCTGGTCATCTCCTGCACTGTGTCCGCATTTGTTCATAGTTTTTTTTTTTTAAACTATAGTCCGGCTCTCCAACGGTCTGAGGGACAGTGAACTGGCCCCCTGTTTAAAAAGTTTGAGGACCCCTGGTCTAGGCACTGTCTTTTTGAGGTTTATTGCTGAAGAACTTGTAACAGGAGAGGGCATTAGGGGGGACACTCCAAACATGTAACACATAGCAGTTGAGGACAATCTTCCTTTGGTATGTGCTAGTATTGACAATGCTAGAACCCCTCACAGCTGAAGACTATGAGGTAACTTTCTGAATAAGCTGACACTTCACAGCTGAAGACCATGAATCAAGGTTCTTCAGCATCTAATAGTAAATAGTGGACAGTATGAGCCCTCACAGTTGAAGACCATGAGTAATTCTTTACCAAGCTAGGGCCTCACAGCTGGGGACCATAAAGCAAATCTCCTTTGACATAAATGCTTCTTCTCAGTATTGGTAGAATACTGGACAGTCTAGGGCCACAAAGCTGAAGGCCATGAGGCAGGTCTTGTGGATGTCTGAGTATCTTGCTCCAAGTAATCAGTAGCCAGTGCAGATTCCCATTTCCAATAATGCACTTATGCTGAGAATCATTCTGAGGGCCAAAGATTCTGATATTTTTTGCTATACTTTGCCAGGATTCTATGGTAGTGAGCCCTTGTAAAAAGCCAGCCTGGGGTTCCCCAGGGCACGAAGTCTAAGGCCTGGTTTGCTTCTTCACCAAGGCCCCTGATGGTGGGGTTGGGCTTGCAGCAAATTGGAACCAGTTTGCGGTCCCCATGTATGTCTGCAAGTGAAAACAGTAGACAAAGCCAGGGTCAATACACAGAATAAAAGTAATACAAGGCAAACCAGGAGCAAAGAGAAACTAGGAAGTTGCTCAGGCAACTGGAGTTGCATCAAGCATGTCTATGTGGCACCCTCTAGTGTGCTACTAGGGTAGTGTAGGTACATTTATTGTGTATGACTCCTGGTAACTGTGTGAGTCTGTAATTAGGTTGGGTTACTGCAGGTCAGGCTGGATGACTTAATAAGTTGGGACTCTATCACCTCCACCTGGTTCTGGAGGACCATGGAACCTTCCAGAAGCCAGTGGGTGGAAGGGGTGGGGACCTAATTTGCATGTTTATGGGAGTCTAACCAATCTCAGATTTGGAGCCCTGGTAGAGTGGTGAGACCAACCCATAAATATGGTAGAGTCAGGCTGGTAGGGGAGTCAGGTGGAAGAAGGAGTGCTGAGGAGGCTATCGGTGCCTGGAAGGGGTCCCCTAGGTCTAGCGGGGATGGCCTCTGGGCTAGCTCAGGAAGATCCACTTATCTTCATGGTATGAACAGGATCAAGGCTTTGGAGCAGTGGGAGCAAAGAGGACAGAGTGAGTACATCAGCACACCTGGGGATTCATAAGGAAAGACTGCCACGTGTAGCAAGCTTTCAAAGGACAGCATTGTGCTTAACCCTTTATCCTTGTCCTGAGAGATCTTCAGAGCAGCCAGGAGGGCTGGTATTGTCTGCAGGTTGTGGAGCTAGGAGCAGTTCTACAGGGAAGAGGAGATACACTATATTGCCAAAAGTATTGAGACACCCCTCCAAATCATTGGATTCAGGTGTTCCAATCACCTCCATGGCCACAGGTGTATAAAATCAAGCACCTAGGCATGCAGACTGCTACTACCAACATTGGTAAAAGAATAGGTCGCTCTCAGAAGCTGAATGAATTCAAGCCTGGTACCGTGACAGGTTGTCACCTGTGCACAGTCCATCCGTGAAATTTCCTGGCTATTAAATATTTGACGGTCAACTGTTAGTGGTATTATAACAAAGTGGAATCAACTGGGAAACAACAGCAACTCAACTAGGAAGTGGTAGGCCATGTAAAATGACAGAGCGGGGTCAATAGTTGAAGACCTACAAACTTCATGTGACCTTCAGATTAGCACAACAACAGTGCATAGAGAGCTTCATGGAATGGGTTTTCCATGGCCGAGCAGCTGCATCCAAGCCTTACATCACCAAGTGCAATGCAAAGCGTCGGATGCAGGGGGATTATGGTGTAGAGTTTTTTTTCAGGGGTTTGGCTTGGCCCCTTGGTTCCAGTGAAGGGAACTCTTAAAACAGGAAGAAGGGTCACCCGCACACCGGAGGATAGTTGAATATAGTGTGTATTTATTGACCCATAGGACACACAAAACACCAGGACATGAATACAGGACTTGTTAACGCGTTTCACACGATCTTGTGCTTAATCACAACAAAGAAAACAACAAAAGTGCTGTTTATATAGGTATTAGTTAATAAAGAACACCTGTCCTAATCAGCACTCCAGAATCCTGAGGGTACGCCTACTAATACATTGTAACAAGACATATAAAACCATTGTATCAAAAGTAGTGATCTCAAAGAACAACAAAAAAGGAAGAAAATAAAAAAGAAAAATGAAGTAAAATAAAAAGATAAACAAAGAAAGAGAGAAAAAAATGGATAAAAATAATTGTGAAAAAATTAATATGAAAAAATTTTAAATGAAAAATAGAATAACAAAACACAGATAAAAGTGAGTAAATATCCCAAGAAGATATGGGCTAAGAAGCCACATTAGTAAATGATTAAAACACGTTAACAAGTCCTGTATTCATGTCCTGGTGTTTTGTGTGTCCTATGGATCAATAAATACACACTATATTCAACTATCCTCCAGTGTGCGGCTGACCCTTCTTCCTGTGCATCATATGTGGTGGCGAGCCAGAGCCTGCACCTGTTGTGGATTGATCTGGATTGTTTGCCTGAGCGGTATACCTTTTGTTCAAGGGAACTCTTAAGGCGTCAGCATACCAAGATGTTTTGGACAATTTCATACTCCCTGTGGGAACAATTTGGGGATGGATCCTTCAATGTCCAACATGGCTGCGTACTAGTGCACAAATCAAGCTCCATAGAGACATGGATGAGTGAGTTTGGGGTGGAGGAACTTGACTGGCCTGCACAGAGTCCTCATCTCAAGCCGACAAAACACCTTTGGGATGAATTAGAATGGAGACTGTGAGCCAGGCCTCCTCCCCCAACATCAGTGCCTGACCTCACAAATGTACTTCTGGAAGCATGGTCAAACCTTCCCATAGACACCCTCCTAAACCTTGTGGATGGCCTTCCCAGAGAGTTGAAGCTGTTATAGCCGCAAAGGGTGGGGCCAACTCAATATGGAACCCTACGGACTAAGACTGGGGGATATTAAAGTTCATGTGCGTGTAAAGGCAGGCGACCAATACTTTTGGCAATATAATATACAGTGGGGATCGAAAGTTTGGGCACCCCAGCTAAAAAATTTGTATTAATGTGCATAAAGAAGCCAAGGAAAGATGGAAAAATCTCCAAAAGGCATCAAATTACAGATTAGACATTCTTATAATATGTCAACAAAAGTTAGATTTTATTTCCATCATTTACACTTTCAAAATAACCGAAAACAAAAAAATGGCATCTGCAAAGGTTTGGGCACCCTGCAGAGTTAATATCTAGTACTGCCCCCTTTGCAAGTATCACAGCTTGTAAACGCTTTTTGTAGCCAGCCAAGAGTCTTTC